CTAATCTGTTTAACTGTACGCGGTTCCAGCCAGTCTACTACCGCGCTTATTTTCTCTGGGTCAGTTCGAATACCTTGCCGGTTTATAATGTGTCCCAGGTATTTTAGCTAGTCTACACAAAATTTGCACTTGTCAGGGTTCAGACGGAGGCGCGCGTCACGAAGGCGTTTGAATGTTTCCGCTAGTAACTCGAGGTGTTCCTCGAACATCTTGCTGATCACGATATCATCCAGATATACAAATTTGGTTCTAACTCGGATCCTAAGACCGTGTTCAGTAGTCTCTGAAAAGTCGCTGGTGCGGAATGCAGGCATTACTTTAAATTGAAATAATCTGCCCGGAATCGTGAAAGCTGTTATTGGCCTGCTCTCTTTAGTTACTGGTACTTGCCAATACCCGTTTTTAAGGTCTAATGTTGACAGATATTTGGCCCCTCTTAGTTTTTCCAACGTTGCCGTTATTTGTGGTAATGGATACGCGTCTTTTAGTGTTACCTCATTCACCCGCCGGAAATCGATGCAGAATCGGTGTTTCCCATCCTTTTTTTTCACAATGATTATTGGTGAGCTCCATGGACATGTGTGACGGTTCAATTATGTCTTGTTGTATCATTTCGTCTATTTCCTTGTCTATAATTGCTTGCATTACCGGGTTTCTCGGCCGATATCTCTGTTTAATTGTTCTTTCGTCCTTTAGTCGTATCTCGTGTTGTACCTTGTCCGTTCGTCCTTGTATGGTTTCGAAACGTCTATATTCCTCCGTTAGAAATTCCTCCAGTCGTTTGTTTACTTTTGGTGTCTGCCTAACTAACCCGGTAGCATAGCACTTGTGCCCCTTCTTCCCCAGGTGTCGTGGTGGTAGTGGTACGCCCACCTGGAATTCCGCTTGTCTGTCTATCCCTAGGATCACATCATCCTCCCCTCTGGGAGGATGATAAAGACGTGAGGCGTAGTATGGTTCCCCAGGCTCGTTTGTATTTTCATTGTTCCCAGCGTTGACCGTGTTGATCCATCTGCCAAATGAATTTCGGTCTTATTTTCTTGGATCGTTCCTCCGTCTGCAACGAGGATCTCTGCCGTTCGGGGGTTGATTAAGGAAATCTCTGATCCCCCGTCTAGCAATGCGTTAAACTCTTGTTTGTGTAACTTGATTATTGTGTGTAAACGCGGTGTGAATTTTATATGGGACTCGGAGTGATTTTTGCGTCCATCTTTTCTCCGACTCCCTTGTCGTTTCCCGACCACTTCCTTGTCCATACTCCGTCGCGTCCACATTGTGAGCAAAATTTTTGTGTTGGTTTTTTGCACTGGGCGCGTATGTGTCCCCGCTGTTTACAACGCCAGCAGCATTCTTTTTTATTGTAGATTGACGCTACAGCGGAAATTGCCTGCTTCTCATGTCGCTGTTTCTCTTTGTTCCGCTATAATGTCTTCATATTCTAAGGCGCGTCCCTGTAATTCCACAATGCTCCTGATATCATCTATCCGGACGTAATACTTGTATGCTGGATTCATATTATCGTAAATCAGCTCGAGCTGTTCCTCGCGAGAGTATCCGCCCGCCCTGCGCATTAATGTCATCATACTCGTGACGTACTGTGCAAATTTCTCGCCCGTCTTTTGTCGTTTCCCTAAGATTTCCCGTCTCAGAGCTGCCGCGTATCGGTGCGGCAGGAATTGCTGACGGAAGTCGTGCTCGAAATCCTCCCATGTGTCCCATGTATCGCGTAAGTTCCGAAACCACGCTAATGCCTCTCCTCATAAGAGCTCAGGGAGCCCTTTTAATAATTGCGCCTTTGTAAATGCATACGCTTCCCTTAGTTTCCCCACCCTCTCTAGGAATGCCGCAGGGTCTTTTCCGTCAAAATGACAGCCCCATTTCCGTATTTGATTCATATTCTTCCCATCCGATGAGATATTTTCGAATGACTCTGCCGCGGAGGGTGTCCGGTATCCCTCGTTCCCGGGTGTGGTCACCGTTATTTGCATTGGAGCTTGACGTTGTGCGCTACTCTGCCCCACTCGAGTCTCAAATTCGTTGGGATGTTCCTCCGAATACCGACCGATTCGCTTACGTAATTCTTCGAAAGACCCGGTGTTGTCTATTTCTAACTTCTGTGCCATTGCTATCAACTGTTCTTTATTTAACTGATATACCCACGCTTTCATCCTTGTTCTTGCCTCTTTTGAAATCTGTTCGAACGCCAATGTAACGAGCGTTTTTCGTTCGTGCCGCGGATAAATGCAGTCGTGAGTTCCAAGGAACGTTTTAGGCAAGCGTGAATCAAAACGTGCGTGGTTTTTAATTTGACAGAAATTTATTTAAAACTCCAAAAAAAAATACAAGTGTATGAAGAAACTGGTGAGCAGACGGAATAGATGTGAAGGAATTGGAGACTTCATTAGAGCTTTGCGAAACCTGTGTTTCGCGAGAGGGCAAGCAGACTCGCCTCTCTCACCAATCTCACCGCATCAGAGCAAAGCGTCCTCTCGAGCTGGTTCATAGTGATCTTTGCGGTCCAATGGATATTACATCCTTTGACGGAAAAAGATATTTGCTTACTTTTATTGATGACTTCACTCATTTTACTATGGCGTACACATTGAAAGCCAAATCAGAAGTGCTCAAATATTTTAAAATGTTCCAATCATTGGCAGAAAATCATTTTAATTTCAAAGTAAGGAGATTCAGGTGGACAATGGAAGGGAATACGTCAACATTTCGAGGACTGCGGAATACAATTCGAACTCACGATTCCCTATACGCCACAACAGAATGGAGTAGCGGAGAGGATGAACCGGAACAATAATCGAAAAGGCGCGCTGTATGATTTTGAATTAAAAAATGAGTAAAATTTTTTGGTCCGAGGCTGTAATAGCGGCTGTCTACTTAATCAATCGATGCCCCACGAATGCTGTGAAAGGCAAGCTGCGAGCGGAATTCTGGTATGGAGAAAAACCCAATCTTCGGAAACTGAAGGTTTTTGAATGCGTTGCACATCTTCATATTCCAAAGGAACTGATCAACGGAAAATTCGAATCACGTTCAAAACGCTGCAGACTAATGGGTTATTGTGCGAACGGATATCGACTGTGGTGTCCGGAAAGTAGTAAAATATTACTAGGTCGAGACGTTATTTTTAATGAGTTTACTTCCGAGTCTGAAGATTTTTATGATGATTTTAAGTCTACAGAAGAAGCAGCAAGGAATCAAGAATCTCCCAATTCAGGCGGAGAACAAGATATCTCGAGTGATGAAGAATCCGAATACTTCGATGGTGCTAAAGAAGAAGATGATAATCGAAGAAACACAACGCTCAAAGATGAAGCAAGGATTTTGAGAAAGAGCTCACGACAGAAAAACAAGTCCAAGTATTTAAATGACTACACTGTCTTGGCTTTAAGCGCAGAATCCTTTGTCGAAAATGTTTCACAACATTTTGACGACATACAAGGATGAGATGATGAAAGGCAGTAGATGAATGTGATAAATGAAGAAATTACATCTCTTGTCGAAAACAAAACCTGGAACTTAATACCATTGCCTCCTGAAAGAAAGGTCATCGATAATAGAGGGTTCAAGATAAAAAAGGATAAAGACGAAATATCGATAAATACAAGACACGTCTGGTAGTGAAAGGATGCTCTCAATGAAGAGGCCAGGATTACGAAGAAACGTATGCGCCAGTTGCGCGTCTCACTACGGTGCGAACCCTTCTATTCGATAGTCAACGAATTCAGGCTAAAAACTAGACAGCTAGACGTTAAAAACGTTTTTCTACACGGAACTATTGATGAAGAAATATACATGAAGTTACCTCAAGGATTCATCCAAGATAATGGCCTCGTATGTAAGTTGAATCGTTCCTTATACGGACTGAAACAAGCTCCATGAGCATGGAATGCTCGATTCAACGAGTTCATTTTGACCCTAGGATTCAAAAGATCAGAACGAGATCACTGTCTCTATATAGCAACATCCAAAAGGTGTTGGCTGTATCTACTGCTTTACGTCGATGATATTATCATTGCAGGCCAAGATGAAATCCAAATTTAAGAGATTGTTGATGCTCTTAAAAGTGAATTTGCTATGACGGACATTGGCGAAATTGGAAGTTTCCTCGGAATAAAAATCGAACAAACATCAAGAGGCCTATTTTTGAGCCAGAGAGCATATATGGAAAAATGCTCACTCGCTTTGGAATGACGGAGTGCAATTTTTCCAAATCACCTATGGAAGCAAATCCTGAAAAACAAGAAAACGACGACGGAGAAGTCATAATCGAGATAAAACCATACAGAGAACTCGTTGGATGTCTGATGTTTCTTATGCTCAACACACGTCCTGACATAAGTGTTACTGTAAACTATTACAGTCGTTTCCAGAACAATGCGAAATTAACTCATTGGAAAGGCCTTAAACGAGTTCTTCGATATATCAGAGACACTCTCGACTGCTATTCAAACGAGGCTTAGCTCCAGAAACACCAACCAAGTCTACGTAGATGCAAATTGGGCTACAGACAATGATCGCAAGTCAACTACTGGTTTTCTACTTCAGGTCTTCGGCTCTACGGTAGCTTGGTCAACGAAGAAGCAAACTGGAATCACCTTCTCATCTACCGAAACAGAATATGCTGCTTTTGCAGCTTTGATGGAAGCAATATGGCTAAAAGGACTTTTAGAGGACTTTAATGTGAATAGTGCCTATCCCATTGCAGTGTTTCAGGACAATCAATCTGTGATTCATCTATTAAGCCGATGGGAACATCGTAGATTAAAACATGTTGATATTAAATACAATTTCGTTAGAAACATGTACCAAAGCAAAGAAATCAATGTGCATTACGTAAATACCAAAGAGCAAACTGCCGATATACGAGGGCGGGTCAATAAGTCCGTGACTTTTTGAATGAAAGATAGTTTTTTCGCCAAAAAAACGTTTTATTTCTCAACATAGTCTCCTGTGAGCTCAATACATTTCGTCCAACGTTTTTCCAATTATTTGATCCCTTCCAAATAATAAGATTTGTCGAGGCCCTCAAAATAGGCGTTTGTTTGAGCGATGACTTCATCGTTAGAGCCAAATCTCTTTCCGCCTAACCATTTCTTCAGGTTTGGAAATAGAAAATAGTCCGGAGAATATGGTGGATGAGGGAGCAATTCGTAGCCTAATTCATGAAATTTTGCCATGGCGATTACGCACGTGTGCGCCCGTGCATTGTCTTGATGGAAGAGGACTTTCTTCTTGGCCAAATGTGGTCGTTTTTCCTTCAAAACGTCGTTGAACCGGTCCAATAAGTTGGCATAATATTCGCCGTTAATTGTTTTTCCCTTTTGAAGGTAATCGATATGGATTATTCCGCGTGCATTCCAAAAAACTGTCGCCATGACCTTGTTGGCCGATAAAACTGCCTTGGCCTTCTTTGGAGCCGATTCGCCACGAGAAATCCATTGTTTCGATTGTTCCTTGGTCTCCGGTGTGTTATGGTGGATCCATGTTTCGTCCACAGTTATGAAACGGCGCAAAAATTCGTTCGAATTGCGATTGAACAACGCCAAACACTCCTTCGAAATTGTCACACGGTTGCGTTTATTGTCAATTGTGAGCAAACGCGGCATCCATCTTGCAGATAGCTTTCTCATACCCAAGTGATCACTCAAAATCGAAACTACTGAGCCATGTGATATGCCTGTGGCTTCTACAATCTCGCGCACTTTCAATCTCCGATCGGCCATACGTATCGTGGAACACCATATCGTGGATTTTTTCAGTTGTTTCGGATGTAGTGACTCCAATTGGGCATCCAGAACGTTCGGCGTCACTCGTGCTTGTGCGACCACAACAAAATTCAGTAAACCACTTTTTTACCATTGAAATTGATGGTGCAGAGTCCCCATAGTATTTATCAAGCTTATCCTTGGTTTGAGTCAGTGTTGTGAGACGGGCCGGGTTTTTTCGCGCATGCGCGGCTATGTTGACTGTTAGGTTAGTAGTTACAGGTACGTATCTAGTATCTGCAGAAGGTTAGTGCGACGTGAATGCTGAAAGTTTTGGCGGGCTAAACGTGCAATAGAGGAAAAGAGAAATTGGATAGTTGTTGGTGAGTAAATATTAAAATGGATTATAATAATAATAGTAGTAATAGTAGTAGTAGTAGTGTTGGAAAAGGAGTTGTTAAAAAACGTAGAATTAGAAATTTTCAACATTCTTGGCTAGATGAAGATATTTTTAAAGGATGATTAACTCCTCATCCTGTAGAGAATAGAACGCTTTGTACTGCATGCAATAAGGCTATCAGATGTTGCAAAACAGATTTAGTGAAACACTCACAGACGGCCAAACATATTAAAAATGTCAACTCATCGAATTTTAAAGCTACCGTTAGTGTTAATAGTGATTTATCGCATAAAGATAAAGTTAAACGCGCCGAAATTAAATTATCTGCTTTTTTTGCGGAACACAATGTAGCTTTTTATGTAGCTGATCATTTAACTCCCTTATTAAAAAATATTTGTATAGATCCCAAAGTTGTGCAAGATCTTTCACTTGGTCGAAATAAGTGTGCAAATATTGTTCAAAATATTATTGCAAAACGTGAAGTCGAGACAATTATTCAATGTTTACAAACATGTAAATTCTCTATTTTAATCGATGAGAGTACGGATATATCGGACACTAAAGTAATGTGTTTACTTGTAAAATATGTTTCGCCTTTAAATAAAAAACTTACAACTCAATTATTAGAATTGTTATCTTTGGACGCTACTGATTGTTCCGCGAGTAAAATTTTAGAAATATTTAAAAACTTTTTAGAAGAAAAAGAAATTCCCATTAAAAATATTGTTGGAATGGCGTGCGATAATGCATCCGTTATGATCGGATGCAATAATTCTTTTATGTCTCGTCTTAAAATAGAAGTACCGGAATTAATAACGCTAAATTGCATTTGCCATTCATCTGCGATTATAGCCAGTAAAGCTTGTGAAAAGTTACCGAATTCTTGCGAAAATTTAATTAGAGGAGTTACCACTTATATTTCGGGTAGTGCAAAGAGATGTGCAATTTTGAACGAGTTTCAAGACTTTTTTGAAATTGAAAAAAATAAAATATTAAAATTATCGGAAACGAGGTGGCTTTGTTTGCACAAATGCATTGTCAGACTTCTCAATAATTGGGAAGTTTTGAAAAGTTATTTTATTTTAGCAACAGTAGAGGATAAATTAAAATCTGCCGAAATTATTTTAGAGTATTTAAACGATGATTCCGTTAAAGCATATTTATTATTTTTAAAATATTCATTACATTTTTTCAATAATTTCAATGCATTATTTCAATCGCGTGATATATTAATACACAAATTATACGATAGTAATCGGGAATTGATTTTAAAAATAGCTCAAAATTTTGTAAAAATTGATATTTTAAAAGATATTAACAATTTAGATATCGATAATAAAAATATTATACAAGAAAATATATATGTAGGACCAGAATGTGAGAGTGTTTTGGATACATTGTCTTTAGAATGTTCACAACAGATTAGATCGAAATGTTTGGATTTTTACATTACTGCAGTTCGAGAAATGCTTAAACGTTTGCCTTTTAGAGATACACTTTTCCAACAATTAAATTTTTGGATCCCAAAATTGCTTTGTATGATGAAGGTAGATTAAAAATTAAAGATTTAACTTTAATCGCGAAACAAGTATTGAAAGATATTGACATTACTGATTTAGCTTTCGAATGGAGAATTTTGCCATCGAGTTTTAATGAAGAACGGAAAAAAGAATTAGCTTGTTTAGAAATAGATGATATGTGGCAAAATATTTTAAAATCTACAAATTTCGATGGGGAAAAGATGTTTCCAAATTTAGAATCATTAGTTAACGTAGTTCTTTCTTTTCCCCACTCAAATGCCGAGGCCGAACGAATATTTTCTATTGTAACAGATGTAAAAAATAAAAAAAGAAATCGATTAGATAATGAGTTAGTCTCTTCAATTTGTGTAGTTCGGTCCAATTTTCAAGCAAAAAATATTAATTGTATAAATTTTGAAGTTGATTCAAATCATCTAGAACTGCATAATGCACAAAATTTATATGGACAAAAGGGCAAATCTGATGGTGCTTAATATTTTTGCTTTTTGATTTATAATTTTGCTTTTTTATTTATATTTTTTTGCATAACTTTTAATTACATTTTCATCTCTAGCCAATATTTACTAATGCATGCTACACAAATGTGATATAAATGTGATAATATATATGTGCATTAATTTTATTTATTTTTTAGATTTTATTTGTCTTTCGGAAAATGTGCAATATTTTTATTTTTAAAATTAAGGACTTTGTGCAATATTTTTATTTTTAAAATTAAGGAGTTTTACTATTTAATAAATTTAAGCTGTTTTTTAATTATAAATAATTAAATAATATAATGAAACGTTGGTATTTATTAATTTTATTAAATTTTTAATTTTAAAATGATTACAAATATATTTTTTTTTTATTATCTGTTATCTACGTGTGTAATATTTATTTATTTAATTTTAATATTAATATAAAGATTTTAATATTTATAAAATTAAATTTAATTTTGTATTAAATGTACTTTTGTTTTATGAATACTGGTAAGATTTTTGGCAGTTTTCCTTACCCTTGCAACAAATGTTGGTATTCCATTTTTCTGCCAAATAAAATTTTTTATTTTGTTCAATATTTTGTTGTATATTTGATTTAAAGTTATTTTAACATCCTTTCATCATGTTTATAACACATCCTTTCATCTTTTATAACACATACATACACGCACGCACGCGCGCGGGCGCGCGACACACCACACGCACACACACACACACACACACTTTTTGTAATTTCAGAAAAAATAAATTGACATTTATATAGTATAAAATATATACAGCATATATACACATAATTATATATATATATATATATATATATATATATATATATATATATATAATTATGTGTATATATGCTGTATATATTTTATTAATTTATTTATTATTAATTTATTATATTTTATTAATTAAATGGCTCACCGTGTATATATATATATATATATATATATATATATATATATATATATATACACGGTGGCCCGCAAATGGCCCACCGTGTATATATATATATACACGGTGGGCCATTTTAATCGATGCACCTGAATATCTCCGTTGGTAAGCCGAATACAAAAAAATTGTTCAGACAAAAGTTGTTCAGGACAAAGGGGGTCATCTATTGGTGCAATTCGTTTTGACCTTGAAGTTTATTTTCAAGGTCATTTGAAGGTCAAAGTGTTTTTCTTTAATGGGAACCCCTATTTTTGACACCGGATTCGGAAAGAGCAGGAAATTTTACGTCCGAAATGATATTTATAAAATTTTTTTCGTGACCTTGAGAAGGACATTTGAAGGTGAAGAGTTAAAGAAAAACTTCCTTTGGGGTGCTTGATTTAAGTGAGTCCCCTTGCCTCTCACTCTTTGGGATGCTTTATTAAGTGAGAGAAGCGAATCTCCCTGCCTTACACTATCAGTTAAAATGATAACCATAATTTCTTGTTACGGTCATCATTTAACCTGGAGCAAGTGTTAAAAGTTGTCTAATTTATCCACTTATTAATGCCTTAAAAAATAGTGTACATGGTGTTAGCAAAATTTGTTGTTCGAAAAACAAAACTTAAATATGAAAGATTCTTTCAAAGTCAAATTAAGATTAGTTTCCTGGTTTATTTGATAGGGCATATTCTTACAATAAATAGTAGTCGCTTATTTCTCGTAAATTCAAATGTATGCTTACGCTAAAATAGTGCTTAACTTTATTCATAAGAACAGAAATAATGTTTTTCCACTTTCTTGCTTAAGAATCTTGATATGACGTTTCAAACTATCTACCTTTTTTTGACTAGAATGTAATTTTTCTAATGTCTACATTTATCTAATAAAATAGACTATGAAAGTTCTGCTCGTTACACCTTTCCAGCTTTAAATTTCCATTTACTTCGTTTTTGTCATATTTTTCTGTATATCCTGATTTGTGTATTTACCATTATCTCAGTTTTGCGCAATTTTTCTGTGCTGTATGGTTTTCATTTATTTTTTCCATCTTCCTTTTCCTAATTTCCAAAAAAAATCTAAAAATTAAAAATAGCTGACTATTTTCCAAATGAGATAGTTGACATGATTATGGTTTTGGGAGAATGCAACAACAATTATCGTTTTGCAGCAAGGCGTTACGCTGAACGTTTTCCAGATAGGAGACATCCTACTGACATGGCAATACACAGATTAACTGCCAGAGCTCGTCAAAGGCATCTTGTTCGCCAGCGTAGGCATGGCAGATATGATGAAAACGACGCTCGTGTTGTTACTATTCTTGCAATCATACATCTTGATCCTCATATTAGCAGTCGTCAAGTTGAAAGAGAAATTGGTATATCCAGGAGAACATTTTTAAGAATTTTAAGAACCCTACATTTTCATGATTATCATATCACACTTGTTCAAGAATTGAGACAAAATCACATTCAATCACGCATTGAATTCTGTCAATGGGCTTTAGAAATTTTAGAAAATGATCCACATTTTTTTAACTTTGTGTTATTTTCCGATGAGGCAAAATTTTGTAGTGATGGAAACCTGAATAGGCACAATTGCCATTATTGGTCAAATGAAAATCCCCACTGGCACAGAGCTGTAGACCGTCAACATCGCTGGAGC